CACATTTTCAAATAATCTATGTACAGTAAAATTAAAATGTGCAACGCTTTGCTCAACTTTTTCTTTGTATATAGTCCATGACATTTTAGACAATTCTTTATTCAGTTTTTTAAAGTTGGCTTTCGAAAAATCAAAGCGAATATTTGGTTCGTATGTTTGGACATCGCAATTTTGACCATCGTTTATAATTTCGTAATATATCTCAATAGCAGGGTGGTAGACATCTTCGGGCAAAACTAGTGGGTCACATTTATTTACAGCCGACTTAGATGCATCATCAACATAAACAAGATCTAATACTTTGCCAAACTTATTGCGAAGTACATTAACTTGATTCAGGCAGAGTTCAGCCATCTCCTCTAAAAATACGTTGTTGCACGCGCTAGACGAGAAAGGTACAATATCATTGTCAATGATGTTCCATGATACATTTGGTAAATTAAAGTCACCCAATACAATCAATGAATCAGAGGGTTTAATCATTGAATTAATTGATTTCAGTAAAGATACATGTTGTGAATACACTGATAAGTCAGATCGGGGAGGAATATAGCATAGAGCTAAGTAAGTAAACCCCCTTCCAACCTGAACACGAATGCATTTGAATTCTGCAGATTCAATGTGTGGAAGACTAACTTCTTCAGATGGTATTGAAGAGTCTACGGCAAAGAGTACGCCACCGCCGACTCTGTCCTCCCGATCTTTTCTGTAGATATGATAATTATTTGAAAGAATCTCTGAATTAAAAGTGTGAGGTTTGAGCCAAGTTTCAGCCAAAGAAATTATATTATAATTGCATTCAAGGCCATTAAGATATAAATTCGTTAATTTAGTATTTATGCCTCTTACGTTTTGATAATAAATACTTAAAGCAGATTTAGTAATCAGTTTTTTGATTCTGTATTCTGACGGGGAATATTTGCTAAATTATTATTTTTGTTGGGCCTATACTCAAATTCCCGAACGAAAGCTCCGGAGGGCCAAAAAGAACTACTAAGCAGCATGTCAAAATTTTCTAAATTTACGTCTATTTTAAATGAAGAAATATTTCTTTCATATTTAAAATTAAATTTTCTGATACTTAAGTTGACAGTTTTAACTTTGGACGAGATGTAAAACTTTATATCGTCCTCGGAAGTATCCCTCGAAAATCTAGATACAAATATAGACAACCAGTCTCCTAGTATTAGACTCGATTACCGGCGGACGGGGTTGAGTAACTGAGTTACTAATTGAGGGTAGAGTAAGCGTTGGAAGATTAGATGGCGGTGCCACAACTTCAACGGGGGAAGGGGAAGATACTGCAGGGTCGTTATTATTAGAAGCAGACTTTGATATATGTTCTTTTGAGGAAGATAACTCCGTTGTCTGTGGACATGGAGAAGAAAGATTAATTAAGTCATTCAGAAGATTGTTCTGACGTGGAACGGTCCTTTCATTAGGCGGACTATGAAGACGCTTACGTTTTGACACACGAATGTCCTTCATAGATTGTACGGTATCTAAGCATTTAAAAGATTTAAATACATTTTCATAATGTTTAAATTTTTCGGTCAGTACCGACAACTCTCTTCCTATAATGTCGACGAACAAAGATATAAAATTGAAAATGACTAATACTACGTTCAATTTGACGAGCTAAACATGTTAAATGGGCTTGAACCAGTTAAATGAACAAAACATGTTCATAAACAAGTTAAATCGCATGCAATTGTTGTGGGAAAATTGAACCAGTTAAATCATTTAACTCGTTTGAAAACCAGTTCAGCGCAGAGTTGTATCAGAAAGCTTTCTGCTCCGACCAATCAGAAAGACCCAAAAGCTTTCATTTGACACGCCAACGTTCAAAAAATTTATATTCTGAAAAATATAAAAATTTAAAAATAATAAAAAAATAGCAAAATTGTATGCATGTCTGGCCGCCAAAAAAGAGGCCAAGGCGGTAATTAGTTATTTTCCATGAGGTCTCATCGTACGCAGAGATAAATAGTGCATACAAACTAGACATTTTGAAGTCTCTAAGTAATCCGTATGCGTTAATATCATGAAGCAGACATTCGCACAAAACAAATTGAAACACAAAAACTTGATTTTGAATATTTTTTCCGAATTTTTATTGGTAATCAAACAACTGTCAAAGTTAACTCCAAATGTTCAATGTGGACGGTTGTGTTTTCCAAAAAGCTCTATTTCATTTAACAAGTTAAATGGGGCCAATTTGAACGTAATATAACCTTATTCAGAATTGCTAATCGATGCTTTAGTTTCATGTTCTCAGTTTCCAACAATGTGTACTCTTCATCATCTTCAAATTGAAGTCCCCCACCACGTTTTGTATTTTCTACTTATGTACGCAAGTGGGCTATCAGACGCTCCTACAAATGCAAATAAAAATGTTATGAGAATATAGGACGTGAATTTGTACTATGGAATTCCAATGCTCACATTGTACAATAGATGTGTGGGGATTCCGGCTGATTTGGAAGGTCATCCTTTGTCACGTCCAGAACGCATTTACCAAGAGGAAAAACCGCAGGGATTGTAGTAGCTCTCCTTGCAATGACCGTAGATGATGCTGTGCTTGTAATTTGTGGTCTGAAAAAAAAAAAAAAAAAAATTTGTATTAATCAAATGTTAAACACATCAAATCAATAAATTTCAATAATTTGTTTATCATTTCGCAAACCAAATTACCAATAAATAGAAACTCACAGCGATGCGATACAGAAATAAAAACTAGGTTAGGTTACGGTTAGACATTTGGTTGTCCATTGTGATACCACATTACATAAGGGAGAAATTCGTTTGAACGGTAACTGCGTAAAAATTACAAGAAGCGCTGGGTGCTCATAATAAAGTTCTTCAAACAGCTGATGTCCACTCCGGAGAGTCCCTCGGGAGAGTCGATGAAATGCGCACCGAGATGCTTGAACCGTAAACTAGCGAATGCCGGGCAGTTGAGTAGGAAGTGCTGAGATGATTCCACCTCGTCTTCCAGGCAACTGCGGCAGTAGGGATCCGTGACGATATTGAGTCGCACCGCGTGGGTTCCCATTGGACAGTGTCCGGTCAGTACGCCTGTGAAAATCGAGAGCTGACGCTTAGCCAGCTGCAGTAGCTCCCTTGACCGCCCGCGGTCCACAACCGGCCAGAAGGACCTTGCAACTTTGCAAGTCGGGGTTTTTTCCCAGCGCTCGCTGAGCCGACCGTAAGCCCATCTGTCCAAAAGCAGGCCGCAGGTTGCCAACGGAACTCCAATGCCCTCCCTGTCCGAGGTGATGGCCTCAAGGGTGCCCTGCCTGGCCAGTTCATCAGCCCTGCAATTTCCCGCGGTATCACTGTGCCCCGGGACCCAGATCAGCTTGATCTGGAAGTATTCCGAGGCAGTTGAGAGAGAGGCCAGGCATTCCTCAACCAGTTTTGAACACACCATTAGCGATCCCAGCGCCCTGATTGCCGCTTGGCTATCAGTGTATATATTTACCCTCCTTGTTGACAGTACATTAGTGCATAGCCAATCGGCTGCCTCTTTTATAGCGGCCACCTCTGCCTGAAAGACGCCGCAGAGATCCGGCAGTCTGAAAGTAAGATCTACTGAGAGCTCCTGACAGTAGAAACCTCCTCCAACTCTCCCTTCCAGCTTCGATCCGTCCGTAAAGATGTTTATTGGACCTCTTGTAAGAATATGAAATAAAAACTAACGGGGCTGCATTTTCTTGGTAAACAACATTTTACCACAGCGCTCAGAGCAATCTGATACGCATTATTTTTTGAAAAATAAGAGTTGAAAACAGTTTTTAAACATGAATATCACATTATCTAATTATATAATATAATTGTATTATCTCCGACTTTTTTCAATGTTTTCTAATATTCGTTCTTCTGGTATGCAAAAGCAACCACGAGCTCAATTTCTTGTGGGGAAATTTGGTCCCCATAAAGGACTTTCACCACGAAACAGTTACAAAAACAAAAACTTTTCTACTGGTATACTGTGCTATTTAGATGTTAAGATCAAAAACCGCATAAGTCCCGGACATGTACGGTGTTTCTCCTCATTCCTCATTTCTCGCGTGTGCAATCAGATTTGGTATGCTAAAAATACGTTCAAATTGACGAGCTAAACATGTTAAATGGGCTTAAACCAGTTAAATGAACAAAACATGTTCATAAACAAGTTAAATCGGTGCAATTGTTGGAAAATTGAACCAGTTAAATCATTTAACTCGTTTGAAAACCAGTTCAGCGCAGAGTTGTATCAGAAAGCTTTCTGCTCCGGCCAATCAGAAAGACCCAAAAGCTTTCATTTGACACGCCAACGTTCAAAAAATTTATATTCTGAAAAATATTAATAATCAAAAATTATCAAAAAATATCAAAATTGTATGCATGTCTGCCCGCCAAAAAAGAGGCAAAGGCGGTAAATAGTTATTTCCCATGAGGTCTCATCGTACGCAGAGATAAATAGTGCACAGGAACTAAACATTTTGAAGTCTCTTAAGTAATCCGTATGCGTTAATATCATGAAGCAGACATTCGCACAAAACAAATTGAAACACAAAAACTTGATTTTGAATATTTTTTTTTCGAATTTTTATTGGTAATCAAACAACCGTCAAAGTTAACTCCAAATGTGCAATGTGGACGATTGTGTTTTCCAAAAAGCTCTTTCATTTAACAAGTTAAATGGGGCTAATTTGAACGTAATATAACGGTCAAGTATTATTTAGTAAAGGTTTTAGGCTCAGACGATGAAGATAAAAATTTTAAACAAAATGGCTATCTTACCTTAAAATGTAAAATTTTGGACTTGTACGGTCGTCGAACTCACCGATTCAATTATAATCTTAAAATTTTTAGGATGACGATTACCGTAATCGCAATCATTAAAATTACGATTACGATTACAGTAGTCGTAATCGTTAAATGTCAAGATTCGCAATCAAGCTTGTTTTAATTACAATTGCAGTAATCGGAATGCTGCAAATTTTCGGGATTACAATTACAGTAATCAGAATCCTTAGTAATCAAAATGTAATCCTAAGTGCCCAACTCGGATTTAGCCCATAGCAAGAGCTATAATATTTACACATCAAAAACTCTGTACCTAAACTAAATTGATTTACTGTATGTATGCATGTTTTGTTTCAAATTACAGCCATTGAGTCCAAACCACCAGAAATGCAGAAAGCTATTGATATACTCAAAAAGTCTTCTATTGAAAAAGTGAACCCTAATTCAGTACGTGGCACTAAAGAAGGTAAGAGGCGTGCTATAGTAGGACTTCAAGAACTAAATGAACCCAAGCGCTCAAAAATTGAAGAATCATCAAATATAGACATTACTAATATCTTGGAAAATTATTCAGTCCATAAGGACCTGATAGATGCCCGTCGAAAGGAAGACGAAGACAAATATTTTAGAAAACTAGAAATGAAAGAAGCAATGGAAGAAAAAATGCTTAAAACGTATAAAATGCCCTGTAAAGCAGTCATATGTAAAATTTGTAAGTATACATCTTTTTCCGCAGCTGACCGCTGTAAGGAAGAAAGGCATTTACTTAAAGTAATAGATGCCGTAAAACGCTTTTTTCAATGCAAAGACTGTGGAAATCGTACGACGACTCTTTTTAAAATCCCAAAGCTTAGTTGTACAAACTGTAAAAGCTCTAGATGGGAACACTGTGCTATGATACGCGATCGGAAATTATATACTACAATACAGCAACTTTCGGTTAGAGGAGATGAAGAAAAATTTTTAGGAAGCACGACAGCGAAACTGAATATAAATCTACTTATACCAACAGAATAATAACTATAATCTCAATGCCATATTGGAAAAATCATACTTGACGTATATTCAGTTCGAGTTAAATGTAATAAAAAATGCGTGGTAATAAAGATTTGAATTGACATACATATGTACATACATATTTAATGAGCAGCAGAGTTATTGGAATGGTTATGAATGAATATCATCTTCTTATTTGGCGCTGTAACCGCCTAAGCGATTTTGGTCGAGTTCAACTAAGCATGACAGTAGTTTCTCTTCTGGGGAAAATTTTCCTTAAAATCACCTCAAATATGAAAAAAAGAAAAAAAGAGGGGGCTTAGAAGGGGTTTTCTCTTCTTCTTCTTTATTGGTGCTGTAACCGCCTGAGCGATTTTGGCCGAGTCCAAAACAGCACGCCAGTCAATTTTCTTCTGTGCTAACTGACGCCAATTGGAAATGCCAAGTGAAGCCCAAGTCCTTCTCCACCTGGTCTTTCCAACGCAGAGGAGGCCCTCCTCTTCCTCTGTTACCAGCATCGCGACCCGCGTTGAATATTTTAAGAACAGGAGCGTTCCTTTCCATTCGAACGACATGGCCAAGCCAGCGGAGCCGCTGAATTTTAATTCGCTGCACTATGTCTATATCGTTGTAAAGCTCATACAGCTCATCGTTAAATCGTCTGCGATATTCGCCATCACCAACGCGTAAAGGTCCGTAAATCTTTCGCAGAATCTTTCTCTCGAAAACTCCCCCTCATCAGATGCTTTCATTGTCCATGCCTCCGCGCCATACACCAGCACAGGCATGATGAGTGACTTATAGAGTGTGATCTTTGTACGACGAGAGAGAGCTTTACTTCTCAATTGCCTACTCAGCCCAAAGTAGCACTTGTTGGCAAGAGCGTTCCCCGTTGGGTTTCAATGCTGACATTATTATTGGTGTTAATGCTTCAAACTTGTAACTGTCAACAGTGACGGGGGTGCCAATACGCGTATGCTCTGACTGTTTGTGTGATGACAGGAGATACTTCGTTTTGTCTTCGTTCACCACCAGACCCATTCGCTTTGCTTCTCTATCCAATCCCGAGAAGGCAGAACAGACGTAGCCCTTGTTTTTACCGATAATATCGATGTCATCGGCATACGCCAGCAATTGTACGCTCTTGTAAAGTATTGTGCCTGAGCGGTCCAGTCCCCGCGGCACTTATTATCTTCTCCAACATCAGATTAAAAAAATCACACGAAAGGGAGTCCCCTTGTCTGAAACCTCGTTTGGTATCAAACGGCTCGGATAGGTCCTTCCTTATTCTGACGGATCTGGATTTATTGCTCAACGTCATTTTACACAGCCGTATTAGTTTCGCGGGGATACCAAATTCAGACATCGCGGCATAAAGGCAACTTCTCTTCGTGCTGTCGAAAGCGGATTTGAAATCGACAAATATATGGTCTGTGTCGATCCTATTTTTGCGGGTCTTTTCCAAGATTTGGTGTATTGTGAATACCTGATCTATGGTAGATTTGCCAGGTCTTAAGCCACACTGATAAGGTCCAATCAGTTCGTTGACGGTGGGCTTCAGTCTTTCGCATAATACACTCGATAAGACCTTATAACCTATGCTTAGCAGGCTGATTCTTGAATTTCTTGTGGATTGGGCAGAGCACACTTTAAGTCCAGTCGTCGGGCATGCGTTTATCTGACCATATTCTGCATACGAGCTGATGCATGCACCTCATCAGCTCCTCGCCACCGTACTTGAATAGCTCGGCTGGCAGGCCGTCAGCTCCAACAGCTTTGTTGTTTTTCACCCGCGTAATCGCTATTCGTACCTCGTCATAGTCAGGCGCTGGGACATCGATCCCATCGTCATCGACTGGGGGCTCGGGTTCGTCTTCTCCACTACTTTCAGTGCTGCTGCCATTCAATAAAGTGGAAAAGTGTTCTCTACATAGCTTAAGTGCGTTCTGGACATCAGTCTCTAGGTCGCCATGGTTGTTCTTACAGGAGTTCGCCTTGGTCTTGGAACCTTCAGTAAGTCGGCTAACTCTGATAAAATTTTCGGGCATTTTTCCTGTCGGCCAGTATTTCAAGCTCTTAAATACGTCTCCCTTCCTTCTTCAGTTCCCTATAACGGTCCCACATGGCTCGCGTTGCGCCCGATCGCTGCGTGGCCCTGTAGGCGGCATCTTTTTTCTCTACAGCTTCTTGACATTCCTCATCGCATCAGTTGGTCTTCCGGGCTCGCTCAAATCCTACTACTTCTTCGGCGGCGGTACTTAATGATCAGGAAATGTGGTTCCACTGCTCGCGTATGTCGGATTGTCGAAGAGCGCTCTCAGGGAGCAGGTATGTGGGTCGAGTGGCGAATAAATTGGCCGTCTGTTGTGATGGCAGCTTTTCGACGTTAAGCTTTCCTTGCATTGTTGGGTGCACAATTTTTGCTGCACAGAGGCGAGTGCGTATCTTTTCTACATCAAGATAGTGGTCCGAGTCGATGTTTGGTCCTCGGAGTGTACGCACGTCTAAAACGCTTGAAGCGTGCCTCCCGTCTTTCACAACATGATCGATTTGATTTCTCGTTTTTCGATCTGGAGATAGCTATGTAGCTTGGTGGATGTTCTTATGCTGGAACCTAGTACTACATATTACTATGTTTCGGGCCCCGGCGAAGTCGATCAGGCCGTTTCGGACGTTTCGTCGTGGAGGCTGAATTTTCCGACAGTGGCGCCAAAGACCCCTTCCTTGCCTACCTAGGCATTAAAATCGCCAAGCACGATTTTGACATCGTGTCGGGGGGCAGCGCTCATATGTACGTTCCAAGCGCTCATAGAAGAAACGCCTTGGACGCCTCATCCTTCTCTTCCGTGGGCGCAGATGAGCGAGATGTTGAAAAATTTAGCTTTGATGCGGATTGTGGCTCCACCGGGCTGAACTCCAGTACTCGGCGACGGAGTCCCTCTCCTACCACGAATCCAACACCGAATTTGCGCTCCTTTACGTGGCAACTGTAGTAGACGTCGCAAGGCTTGACACTTACTTTTCCTTGCCATGTCCATTGCATTTCTTGGATGGCGGTGATGTCAGCCTTTGTCTTGCCGAGGACATCAACCAACCGGGAAGAGGCACCTTCCCCATTAAGGGTCCGGATATTCCAGGTGCATACCCTCAAATCATAGTCCTTTATACGTTTGCCGTGGTCGTCATCAAAAAAGGGGGTCTGATCCGAGGCTTGTTGGAATTTTTCATTGGGCGGGGTTTTAGCGTGGCGGGACCCAAACCCAGCACACGCGAAGTTTTACGCCTTCTCACTTTATCTCGCTCCCAAACGGGTGTTTGGTTGCTACCCAGAGGATACGTGGATATAAATATTCGGACGTTGTGTGCTGCGATTTGAACCGTACGCACAAGAATCGCTTCTGGCCACTCCCAGGTGAATGGCAGTCAAAAGTTTTCCACTTCTGCGCACGGAACCATACTTAAATTTTTTATTCCAAATTTTCGCTTAATATTAAGACATTGTTTTAATAACCCTCACTAAGTAGAATTCTCCTTTCTATGTGTCCGAAGGAGAGGGGTCTTCGGCCGCGATTAGGGATTATAACCCTCACTAACAGGCCTATTCTGCTTGTTACGGAACATTTTAACACCGGAAAATTTTGTTACCAAATAATAACACCACTTTTGTAGACGCAATTCTAAGCGCCTTTGTAACAATTTAATCTATTCGGCAATTCAGCAATAAAGTTTTGTATAAAATCTGGTGTTGCATACTTCACGGGGCAATATTTTGTTACCAGCTTATGAGATGGTAACAAAATTTACCTGTGCGCAGAATGCGAAAAGGGTTTAAAAATTACCAGGAACTTTATTTACCGGCAACAAAATTTTTGTTACCAACGCAGAATAGGCCTGTAAGTACAATTCTCCTTTCTGTGTTTCCTTTCTGTGTAGGCGGCCTTCGGCCGCGCTTAGGGATTATAACCCTCACCAAGTAGCATTCTCTTTTCTGTGTTGCCGAAGAATAGGGGATGAACACCTTTTGCAGAGAACACCTTTCGGTGTAGGCGGCCTTCGGCCGCGCTTAGGGATTATAACCCTCTCTAAGTAGAATTCTTCTTTCTGTGTTGCCGAGTAAGGGCTGAACACCTTTTACGCAGAGCTCATTGTTTAACATATTAAAAAAACACACTATGCTCATTTATTCCGTAATATTATCGAGGACATTGTGTAGCAAACGTAGAATATTTAACATCCTGTCATCTTAGTGTATTTAATTTTCGAACATCTGGTAGCACCAACATGAGTTCACCATTACAGCCATTTTGATTTGTTTGCCTGTTTACTTTGTTGAAGAAAAGTAGTGACATTATTAAACGCGTTCATATTGTTAAAAAATAAAATAGAATACTTTTGATGTCATATATGTAATACTCACGATGCAGCGAAACAGAGGTGGCGCCTTCCGCGGACCGCTAATCCTCTCTTTCTCGATTTGACAGCATCCACATCCATCGTTGACGTCACATTATTATTTTTGAGCACTAGTGATGAATACTAAATATTCATGTTGTACCTATTTGCCGAAAAGTTGTACCTAAAAGTAGATACACGTACCTAAACAGTAAACATGTACTTTTATGTGCGCATATTTTTGACACTTGGTGGACTACACCTTCCATCTGTTCCATCTGTACCATAACAACTTTTGAAACATGAAACAATATTTTACTACGT